AATTGAAGTTATAAATTTTCTATTTTTTTTATGTATATCTCTGGAACCAAAAAGTTAGAGTTGATTTTTCAGTATCATTCAACCACAATTTAATCTACTGTCCAACTCTTACTGTTTACGAGATCTTCATGCATATTGAATAGCCCGTTTTTACAGTTTCAATAAAACTCCAATTATGTACTAATCATTTTTCGTGATTCAAGCCCTCAAAAACGTTTCATGTTATTATTGAACAATGCATTGAGAGGTCACCTCAAATAACTTTTTTGGGAACAAAATCATAATATTGATAAAACAAATCTCTGGAATTGATTCCCAGATAAGTTCAATTCAATTGGGTGTATAATTGAAAAGCCAGACACTTACTGCAAATTACATAGTTTTATTTCAATGTTACAGATGGTGATCTCACATAAAAATTGCAGTCACCTTCTTTTTTGATGTGAAAAAATATGTGCTGAACAATGATTCATAGTTGAAAAATTGTGACTAGAAATTAAATATTACTTTGGTCTTAAAATTATTATCTGAAATTGATCAATAATAGTACACATAATCATGGCTAAATTTTGACAGCTTATACTTTCGTCTTGGAACCAGTAAAGATAAATATTTTGATAACAATAACACAAATATGTAAAACAGTTTTACAATTTGCCTATCCGTGTTTCCAAGATGCCACTAGATCCACAACAAAATACACTTTATATACAGAATGATGATTTTGACTACAAAAATTAATTACTGAAATGAAAGTTGAATGAAAAATGTATTTTGAAAAGCCTAACACATGACAGTTCAATCAGTTTCACTGAGGAGTTTTCAAATTTTCTTAAACTTTATTACCTGTGTAATTGAAAGTAACTTAATTGAAATGCAATTCTAATCTAATATTTTTATGGTGAAAAATGGGAGGAAATTGACAAAAACTCTTCATTATTGAGCAGATACCAGGCATTTAATTTGAAAGAAGTAAGCAGAAAAAGAGATTCAAAGGAATATACTTCATATATCTCAGTGGTAACATTATATAAGACAACATTTCAATCAATATAAAAAATTATCAAAATGGCACAGGCTGAGTCAGTTACAAAAAATTTTTATTTTCAATTTGATACAATATCAAATGTTTCGTTAAAACTATAATTTGTAACCAATTTAACCATTTGACAGTTGGTTCTAGTAGGGTACGAAAACTACCCAACATTTTCAAAAGATATAAAGTTACTAGAAAAATGTATTTTTAAATCATTCTCAACGTGAAATATTGATACTGTAATTACCTCCAAAACAATAATTTTACAATGAGTTTCGAGATAAACTAGGTACACTTGACTAAAACTAAGTAAAAGTTGTATGACAGTTAATAGTCCTATACTCTCAATAAAAAGTATAGAAGAGAAAATTCAAAAGGATCTGATATGAAAGACACATTTCTAAATTGTAAGAAGACTGTGAGCACAATGTTTGAAAGCAATCTTAGACATGCAAATGTTTCTTTCATCAGATGTCACAGAAGGTAAATGTGCAAATATTGATGTTATGCCCTCTACTGATATATTTTTATCAAACTTCACAAAATATTGTTCAAATTATTACAAAAAAAACATTTACTTGAGTTACGACTTGATTGCCTAGAATTTATTTTGAGATTCTTAAAATGTGTTAGTAGTAACTTATTCAATAAATCAATAATTGTGTATTGACACAATTATTCAATCTTTTTCACAATATAAATTTTATATATTAAAATATGTTAATGATATATGAAAAGTCTTGATAATGCCCTGAGATGACGCAAAACGTCGACCTTTGAGTAGTTTACAAAGAATGATCACCTGTTGAAACAACCTAGCGGTATCCACTATTCCTTTATCCTTGAAACCTACAACCATGGACACATATTCTGACTTATTGACCTTCAGCAGCACTATGTAGCCACGTGCAAAGATGGGCAACACCTGGTGGCAGACAGCAACACATACCTTCAGAGTTAAAGTCTAGAGCCGTATATCTGTGATTTCATTCAAAAGAGCTAACATTCGCAGGAAACACCTAACACATAGCCATATAGCTATCTGCTTGAGTAACATCCAGGTCCAGAGTACAAAAACACAAGTGTGTTTGCAATGAGAAGAAAACCCACGAATATATCAAACTGCGTATACCTGACCGTGAGTTCTCTCTCCAATCTCATTACACCACAGTTATGCTGCCACATATTTATGCTCCTTCTTACATGTGTTGCCCATTCTTGATTTACGTTCTACTGTGCTATGTATAACGAAACTAAAAAATCAAAAAGAAAAACATATCACCCCCTATTCCAAATTTTCCTCCTTGATTTTTCATTCTATTCCATTGTTTTATTTTATTAGTTTTTACATGTTTTCATATAAATTCAATTTTTTCATTCATCGTCACAATAGTAAGTAGAAAAAGGTTTCAGTTGTCCTAAAGAAGGCAATAAACATTGTTAAAAGCTCGACATATACCAGAGTGAACAAACCATTTGTTATTAAATGCAACTTCAAGAATTATCCGGGTGTTCATCCACATTTGAAGAAAATGTCAGCATTTTGCCATCATCTCGATATTATCAAGATTTGTTACTGCTCCTACTTCATGAAGAGGGCCATATATCTACAGTGAAACCCATTTAAAATTCAAGAAGTCTAATAGAACACCAAATTTCATGAATGAGTCTTTATTTTCAAGGTCAATGAAATGCGTTCCTCTTTGAAAAAATTATATGAATATTATTGATTATCCCAAAAACGTATGTGAATTTCTGGAGCTTCAACTAGCATTTCCTAATATGACTAATAACCAGTCCATGAAAAGCTTATTGTTAAATCATCTGAAATGGAACTTTCAACAGGTGATGTTCGACTGTATTGCTAAATATGCGCCAAACTGACTGAGGCACCAGTCAATCTAATAATAACACTGATGATCTTCAAACATGACTCAACCTCTGACGGAAGCACCAAACTCATATGAATGTTCGAAATAGATATACACAGTTATAATCTTCATGCAGTCATTGTTCACTGTGGTTTTGGCGTTGAATCTGGTCATTATTATGCATTGGTCAAAGACGAAACGGACTGGTTTAAATTTGACGATAGTCGTGTCAATAAGTGTTCTGGCGATGCATTGAATTTAGTGGAGCCACTGGAGACACCCTAGATTTTGTTTTATGAGAAAGAGGATATCGGCAGATCAAGATCTTCAGATGATGTGGTACTGCAGGTTTTTCCAGGTGTTCCTGCAGCTGAACAAGCAAATGCGCCCGGAGCGCCAATTAATTTTTGTTGTTTTATAGTTTCATGATTTGTATTTTAGAAATATTTACGTTAATAGGTATTAAAAACTAAAACCAAAATTCTGACTACTCCACTGGATTCAGCAGGTTTTAGATTTATCACTGTTCAGAATTTCATCGAAATTTTTAGGAGAGACTAATTTCTGGGCACGAACGGTTTTGGCTAACTACTTCTCCATCTTCATTCAAAAAAATGTGTGACTTATTTTTGAATTATGTTCTTCCTTTCTTTGGAAGATTCCACTTTTTTGTATGAAAATGGAGAAGTAGAAATCCAAAACCTTTCTTCTGCAAAGAACAACTTATTTAATAAAAAGAACATTAACATTTCAAAATATTTCATATATTTATATATATTTTATATATTTCCCTCATATAATATCTTTTCTTAATATCAATAAAGGATAATAATGACAAGGTAACGTTTTTTTTGACAATGTTTCGTGGTGCATTTCATTAGTTCAGACTTCCATTAATGAATCGAAGAGGTGTTTTGTATGAAAGTGTATAAATTATAAAATATTTGCAAAGTGCTTTCGACTTTCGCCATCATCAGTGCTCACTTGTCAGGCAACAGGAAGTATCAAAAACGAGTACATAGCACATTAATATTTGATTTATATAAAACAAAATAGGCTGATAGCCAAGAAAATGCATTTTTGGATTGAAGCCATGTGGTTCAGTGAAAGTATTATCTGAAAGATAATATACAAAAAGATAGATAATTTACAAAAAGTATTTCCTTGGCTACCTGCCTATTTTGTTTTATATAAATCAAATATTATAAATGTGCTATGTACTCGTTTTCGATACTTCATGTTGCCTGACAAGTGAGCATTGATGATGATGAAAGTCGAAAGTGTATAATTTTATAATTATACACTTTCATAAAAAAAACCTATTTATTCGGACTTCCATTGTCTAATATGATATAAATTGATATGAAATACCTGAAAGAACCTGTAAAAAAATTAAAAAAGATTAGCTGAGAAAGAAAAATTATATTAAGCAAAAAACTGAAATCACAATGAATTAAAATACAAGCAACAACCAAAAAATCAAAAAAATTATCTATTAGCTCGAGATGAAACCAGCAAATCAGGAATAGCAGAGCATGTTTGGACTCATCTACATAACATCAAGTGGGCTCAAGCTGAAATCATCCACAAGGAAGAACACTGGATTAGGAGAAAATTCAAAGAAGCCGCATATATGTTGTCCAACAACGCATTTGGCCAAGCTAGCGTAGAGATACGCAACATATGGAAACCTCTAATCAAGCAGAACACGACTAACTCCCGCCAAACGGTCAGATTCCGCTAAAACCGATAAAGCGGAGAGAGGGAAAAGGGGATAAGTGAAAGCACTCGAATGACCTATAAATAGTCAGATCTCGGAGGAATAAGTCCAGTTATCACCCGAAGATGATTGTGGATACTAACAATCGAAACGTCGTGAAGTAACTTGGTTTGGAATCTTTTAATTTTCAATTTTCATTTCTTGTTAATATACTTTTTTTTTATTTCATCTCGTGTTAATAGTTTTTTTTGGTATTGCTTGTATTTCAATTCATTGTATTTTCAGTTATTTGCTTAATATAATTGTTATTTTTCAGCTGATCTTTTTTAATTTTTTTTATTCAGGTATTTCAAATCAACTTATATCATATTAGACAATGAAAGTCCGAACTAATGAAATGCGACAAGGTAATGTTTTGGTATGAGATAAAATATCTGGTGATCACCTGACAATTGAGATTCTTTTTATTATATTTTCTACTTATGTTCGTGTCTTCCAACATCACACTGTGAACTTATTACATTCCAATAGTTTGAAACCATTAATGTATGATATTTTCTAGGCAAACATTTTTTTGGAGCTTCCATTTTGTTTTCTGGTTTCGTATGAATTTGTTACTGTCATTCTATACCCACTTCAAACTTTTCTAATGATCAGACATGTTAATTATGTGTTGGATGAATTATTGTGTGTGACAACCACTAAGAGAACTACAGTGTTCGTACTTCCAAGTAGTTCTTCTCATACCGTTATCCTAGAGAAAAACCTTCTTCAAAACTCATTTCAACACTGGTTTCTATGTGCTGTGATAACTTTTCATCATTACATTTAGAGACTTGTAAACGATTCTTACACCAAACAAAGATCACAGTTTGATATGGTAGTTGATAGAATATGCCAATAGTCAATCTTAAGTAATATTATTTCAATTTTGGTAAATAACAATGGATTTGGTTCCAGAAATGACAATGTTTCTTATAAGGATGGTTGTTGACTAATTTTGTGAATTCTTGAAATAAATAATATATCTTGAACTAATTCCATAAATAATGATATAAATGGTCATAATAAAATATTCAAACAAATCATTCATGACTAAAGAAAAACATTTCATAATTACAAACTGATTTCTCAGAACCTGATATAAAACTTTGTTCACCAAAGCATTTAGCATTTTTTTTATTTTTGTGGAAAAGTGTTAATATGAGAAAATAGAAAAAAGTCGAAAATTAATATAGTTGAATATTGATTGTTTTCTTATAATATTATAAAAAACTATCACAACATAATATAAAATAACGTAAACAGAATCAGGGTCAATTCGATGATATTTTTTTGTGTTTGAAATCCAGTTTGTGACACAAAAAGCCAATCTTTATTTTACAAAAGTCACAAATTCACAAAAAAGCAGGTGAAATAAAATGAAAATAGTCTTAAGTATTTATAAAGTTCCACATATATCTGAATATTTTATCAGCCACATATTAATAATACCAAAAATATCAACGATTTGATTGGTGATGTTCCCCGACTATCTTCTATTTCACCCTTCTGCTTAAGACACTGATTAGAGAAAATAAATAAACTCGCTCAAAGATCTTGTCAAAAATATTAAACTGAACTAAATATATAAGAACATTACTGTATTTCTTACATAGAGGTTACATAACCAAACACTTGCGCTGCCGTCTTTTCTGAGGTTCAGGTCTCAAAACAGCTCGAACTGCTTCATCAAAAACTTGTTTCAGCCCTCTTTGAGTTAAAGCTGAACATTCCATATATTTCACTGCTCTTATTTTATTTGACAGTTTCTGACCCTGCTCCCTTTTAATAGGACATAAACCTTGATCAGCCAATGAATTGAGAGTTTCTCTATCATCTCTTAAATCTATTTTTGTACCTAGAACAAACAATTCAACATAATAAAATAGCAAACGAAAATGACAAGTATTACACACTATTCTGCAGAAATGTTCTACAGAAAATGTTGAACAAAAGTTCTTGAGGCCGAATTTTCTAGTTTATAATGACTATGTGGCAGATGTTGAGTTATTCTTACAACAACATTGACTGAAGCCTAGTATTAGCTTTGTTGACTTGGGTGGTACAACAGATAGTTGTTACACCAGAAAACACTTTTAACAATATAAGAGAATTAGTAATTTTGAACAACAAGGTCACTCACAAATCCTTACGTAAATAGATGTAGGCATGTGTGGAGTTTTTGACCATGTGAGGTTCAAAATTATCAATTAGTGGTAAGTTCTGAAAATGGGAATGAAAAATAAAAGATTTCTGCCAACTTTCAGACAATTTGAAAAAAATCTCTTATAAGATTAGTGAGAGTTTTGTACCATACTATGAATCTCTTAAACATAAACTTTTTTCCCATATGGAAGAGAGGATTTTCTATTAAAAGTTATAAATTTATATAAATATCTCCAATAATTATGTTAGATACAAAAATATTGTATGAAGACGCACAACTACTGCAGGAAAATCTGAAAATGGTGCCTGTGCGACCGTGCCGATTTACGTTAGATTTAAACGACTATTGAATATATTCATTCGAGAAAAGTGTTTCAGAAGGGTTGCATAGATATATAGAAATACGAGCGACTTGCCCCGGCGACGCACGGGTGCAATGCTAATACCCAAATATAAACTCACCCAGCGAAAATTTAAGGGCATGGAAACAGTGATAAAAAAGTAACTTAATTTTATTATGAACGCGCCTTGTTCCCCGCAGCTGGCGCCCCAATTGGAATATTCAACGTTCCTTTCTTATTGCACATCTGCAACATAAAACGAACCTAAATACAAAATTTCAACCTCCGAAAATGTAGCGGTATGGAGAAACATTGATGAAAAACTAATTTTCACATGTAAACGCTCCCCTCTTATCCCCAGTGGGGACCCCCACTTGGAAAATTTCAAAATCCTACAACATCTACAACATAAAACGCCGCCGAAAATATAGCGGTGCGGAGAAACAGTGATGAAAAAGTGATTTTCAAATGTAAAGAGAAGACAAGGAAAATATAAATCTATTTACATGATAAATTCCTAAACATCGACTCATTACGTATTCAAAAAAACACAATGGGAGATTTCCACTTGAAAGTTTACAAAACCGCGACACATTTTTCGCTATACCGCAATAGAATACAATACAAAAGAATAAAAGAGCACAGAAGTAGTTTTTTGAATAGGCAGACTAATTCAATATTTGGGAACCATCTTTTGACAGAGGGGCACAATTTCAATCACAATTATGATGTATTACATTTTAAAGAGAAAGGTTCAAAACTCAACCTTTTGGAATGTTTAGAAATTAATTGATTGATTTTAGTTGTTCCCCTTTATTGAATTTAGTTTGCAATGAGGAAATTAGTAATTAGGACAGATTTTAAAAGTAGGTGAAATGATGGCTCAGGTAAAAACTTTTCTTTCCCAAAAATTATTCTCTCCTGAAAATATTCACTTTCAATTCAAACAAGATTCCATGGCTAGGATTTAATCAAATAAGCGAATGAATGTCATGTAATTTTATAAATGAATCGAGTGCATCATCCTATGTTATCCAGATTGGTGTTGAAGAGGCGATAAGGCAAGTGTCTTATGGCGAAACATCGGATGTCCACCAGTGAGGATGACAGTGTTCCATGTAAGTGAAATTTTACCCTTTCTTTTATTATATTGTTTTACTACACACATTCACAGAATCGCTATCCTGTGAATATCTGATTCAATTCTGTAACGAGTGTTCGGAATACAAACTGAATGGAGAAAAGTGTTTTTTTTTATAATTCAGAGTTCATATGAAAGTGTTTCGAAAGTATTTTTCTTTCGTGTAATTCAATGTTTATATGCAAGTAGGTGTTTCAAGAGGGCTTTTTCTTCCAGTTTGTGTCTAAAAGTTACTTTTTTGCATGATGTACGTATCTTTGTATGGAGTTGATTTTTTGAAATTGATTGCTTCCTTCCTTTCTTTCGAAGATTCCCACATTTTTTTGTATACAGATAGAGAAGTAGAAAACCACAACCTTTCTTTCCTAAAAATAACCCCTTTCAATTCAAACAAGATTCCTATGGATGGGGTTTGATCAAATAAGCCAATGAATTTCATTGGGTACTGACATCGATGACATTTCTGACATGACGTCGTAATTTCATGAATGAATTGAGTACTGCATCTTATATTATTATCCAGATTGGTGAAGAGGCGATAAGGCAATTCTCATATGCTGAAACAGCATAAGAGACTTGCATAATTTTATTCAGATTTGGTGCTGAAGAGCCGATAAGGCAAGTGTCTTAAGGTGAAACATTAGATGTCTACCAGTAAGGATGACAGTGTTCCATGTAAGTGAAATTTTACCTCTTTCATTTACTATATTGTGTAGATTCTTACATTTTTTGTATAAGAATGGAAGAAGTAGAAAGCCAAAACTGTTTTTCCCAAAAATTAATCTCTCCTAAAAATACACCCCTTTGTAGTGTTCAAAAATGTGTTTTTCCTTTAAATCGATTTATCTGGCCAAATTTGAAGCCAAATAATGTTATTTGTGAAATTCAGTAAAACAAAAGGTAACCAGCCGATGGTGATACCAAGTTTATTTCCCCGGTATCTTTGGACTAAGAACATGTCAGAACTTCAATTATTGGTTTCTGTTATATGTGACTTCTCTCAAGAACATTATTTGAGCTTTCAATTAGGAAAGGTAAATTGTTGTTAAATTGATTTTTCTACATAATACAGCAAACCAGTAAAATTAATGTCTCTAAAGAGAAACATTTCAAATTATGTACCCTTGAACATAACTTGTTTGCATAAATTACTCAATTTTGACATAATCATTATCTAAGAATAGATGGAATGTATGAATAAGTTATGAATAATAACAATCAATGATTTGTCAGTCAATACCCAGAGTAAATCATCTGATTAATAAAAAAATTTACAAAATGGGCACCAATTATTTGTTAATGTACCCTTTTCTTTTATTCTATTATAATTATTTGAATTATTAACTGCAACATTCATTAAGGGTAAGTTATTTATTCTTAATTCAAAATTTCCACAAATTCTATTTTTTTGTTTAGATAGCATGTAAACGGTTTTTGCAGAGTTCACCTCAAGTTTATTATGTGCAGACCAATTTGAGTATTTAGAGAGATCTTCATTAACTGTGTTCTCCAAAAAATGTTAATCATATCCACTGTACAAAAGGACCGTGTCATCGGCGAACGGGAAATACCTTCCCTTAAGCCCGGCCTGCCTCAGTGACAGTACCATCAGTGTATAGAAGAGGGGTCCCAAAACGGATCCCTGTGGTACGCCACAATTATTTTTTATATGCTCACTCATGCTCTTACCAACAGCGACAAACTGGGATCTTTCCTTTAAAATTTTCTCAATGAGAGAATAAGTTTTGCCTCTTATACCCATGCAACATAGTTTGTTCAGAAGAACAGTATGGTCAACAACGTCAAATGCCTTTCTTAAATCAATAAACACTGCAATAACCATTCTTTTTTTATCCAATTCTGATGTAATATTATGAATGAAATCTATTGTGTCGCTTAGAGTGCTGCTACCCTTGATAAAACCATACTGATACTCATCAAATCCCACATAATGATCAACAAAGTCCATTATTCTTGTCTTTATCATAGTTTCAATAATTTTAGAGAATGAGCACACAATTGTTATAAGTCTATAATTTTCTAAGTTTTTGTTATCACCACCCTTAAATATTGGTATTACTTTTCCAGTCTTCAGTATCTCAGGAAATATCCCCGCTTTGAAAATATCGTTTATCAAATTAACGAGTATGGAAATGACATTTTGTTCAATTAATATTATGTCTTTAACGGATATGTTGTCGTGCCCTGCTGCAGGGTTTTTATTGAGTGCAACTATGACTTCAGATACCTCTTTAGCATTGGTTTCCTTTAGGAGTACTGAGTTGCCACACGATAGTTCCTCAAAATCTACACTTTCTATATTAATATCTATATTGGAAATAATTGATTGACCTATGCTAGTAAAGTACCTGTTGAACATATTTGCCACCTCTTGAGGCTCAGTGATAGTTCTATCATCTGTAACTAATTTAATTGACTCGTTTTTTTCCTTCTTTATATTTATTATCGAGTTTATTACACTCCATTGTTTTTTTTCATTGTTATCTGCTTTTTGCCATTCTGCTTTGATATGAATTGATTTTTGTTTCCCTATCTCATTGGTAACTTTATTTTTGAATACTTTAAGTCCATCCACAATTTATTTATATTTTCAGATTTGGATTTGTTCCTTTTATTTTTTTATATATACTATCTCGCTCTTTTATTAAGTTCAATAGATCATAGGTCATTTAATCATTCCCTTTGCGATGTTTTAATTTTATCTTATAACTAGAACCTTCTTAACATGCATTTATTACCTTTGTTAGCATATCCATTGTGTCAATGAATTCACAATTTTGTGACGTGTCCCTAAATTTTTGTTTGAATAAATCTTGCTCAACTACACTAAAGTTTGTTGGTATCTTTGGTTTATAGATACAGGCTCAATATCTACATTGATATTTAATGGCTTATGATCACCCAGAGCATAGTTGTATATTGTATCACTTAATATTTTTATTAACCAGGACATGATCCAATAGAGAATTCGTTTTGCTTGTTTGTCTAGTCGCATTATTCTGGTAAACTATGTTACATACTCTAAAATCACTCATCAATATATTCTTTTGTTTCCTCTAAATCTGCATTCAGGAGATTGACATTCATATCTCCTAGTACAATAGTTTTATTCTTTTTCTTACATAATATATTCTAAAATATATCGATAAATTCCCTAAACTGATATTTAGGTGGTCTATTCGTACCATATATTTGCAGCTTTAAAGATTTTAACGAAATTGTCATTACATTATATTGATCAAAACCATCAATTTTTTCTATCACACTGAAATCAATATGTTCACAAATATATACCAAAACACCTCCAGCTCTTCCTTCTCTGCAGGAATGAACAGCCACAAATCCATCTAGATCAAAAAATTGAACTTCATTGTCAGATAGCCACGTCTCCGTCAATACCAAGATATCACAGCCATTTGTTTTTATAAAACAATGTAGTTCGTCCAACTTATTACGCAAACTTTGCATATTAGCATAGCAAATAAGAAGTTTATTTGCCAGTCTAAGAACTAGTTTTTAAGGTTGTCTTCGTCATTAATCAAGTTAACTTTGCTACCTTAATCCTTCTTCAGGAAAATGTTTCCATCCTTGACCCAGTTAAACCTGAAATTGTGTTCCTTTCTGAAATTCATGGCCTTTTTATATAGCTCCTATTTTCTCTTTGTAAGGTCATGGTCAACGTATATAGGTTCAATCGAAGGGTTATCGAAACCAAGATCTTCGGTAGTAATTCTCTTTTTTCTGGTAACTTGCCAAAATTTCTCTTTACTTTGTTGATTTTCAAAACAGACCTTTATTGGTGCTGGATATTTGGATCCTTTCCCAAGCCTATATATTCTAATATTTTTATTTTCCATCTGTATACTACCCATTTTTTTCACGATCTCCATTAGGTTTTCTACACTTTAAGTTTTTCTCATTTTTCATGATGACCTTCTACAAAGTAGTAATAACAAACGATTTATTAAACTTATTTTGATCATTTAACAGATGAAAAGTATAATGAAAAGTGGTTCAATAGGCAAAAGAGAAAAACACATGTGAATGTGTGAAAAAGTAACTCGTATTGAAATCTTTAGAAAATCTTTGCAAGTGTAACTAAATATAATGACGCTTTTTGCAGTAACGACATGCAAATTTTTTCATTTGAAGCTAAACAAGAATAGCCTTTTATCAATTTTTTTTAAATTGTGCAATTACATTTGAGTATTCCAGTGACTATGAGGAATGACTATAACTGGCAAGGGTTGCCAAAAGTTGACATTTATTGGAAAGAACTGAGATAAATTGATCATAAGTTGAAAATTCTTGAGGGAAATTAATTTGTAATGCTGACATGCTGTTGTCACTCCTTTTTGGTTCAAAAATCTTCTTTGTTGACATAAAATAAGTGACCATAGGATCCCAACTAACTGTGAGTTGCTTAAGATATTTCATAAAATACATATGGAATTGTATTCATCTAAAAACATTCTTGAACTTTTTTTATTTACGTCATATCGGCATATCGATCAATGACTTAAGATGATGATCAACTGTGATTCCATTATTTTGATACGAGTTACAAAGCAAATTTCAAACAATATATATAATTATCGGTTGTTTCAGAGTGTTTGATCTATGGCAGTTTTCACAGTACCAGACAAAGAGCCATTAAGATACCTCAATTTTGTTCTTTTTGGAGTTATTAATTATTTATGAATCAGTGCCTTGAAAGCGTCGTGTAAGTAAAACCAATTTTTTTAAATATTTTATTTGAAATATTCATTTCTCCCCCTTATTATTAATATCGAAAAAGCACCCTAACTTTCAATTGAAAATTCCCACATCAAAATATTTTTTTGTCAGTATGCTTCTTGTTCGTTGAAATCTCTCTCTGATTGTGTGAAAAAATATACATTACAAATCTTCCCAGAAAAGGCAAAAAAACGAAAAAACTGGATTCCAAAAAATTTGTTATTTGTTTTGATCATTAAGTAAAATTTAGAACTACATATTTATAAAAATGTAAGAATCCATGTTACATTGATAAACAAAAAAATCGAATCTTATAACATAGAGATTGCAAAAAATATGTAAAAATAGTTTATTTTCTATATATCAAAGATGGAATTCAAAGGGGATTTTATTTAAATTCTAATCACTTATATTAGTTTTTGTCTCTTTGATTAGATTTCTCCTTCGTTAGATTCGACAAACCTTTCCAATTTTAGCAGATCTTCGAATTCTTCAAGACCATCATTGTCTATGTCTCCAATATTTTTTCCAGTCTGCATTGGTTCTTCATCCACAATTTCATGTGAATAATTAACTTATTCATAGGTTTTTTCTTCAAAATTAGAGCATTTTTCAGAACAATGACAAATTGAGCAGAAATTTGTGTATTTCAAACCATGTTTTTGGTAGCCACATTTTACCATCTACCACTCAACATCAACAAAACAGTGTTAATGAAATTCTCATTAGGTAATAGGAATGACCCTCTTAGTATATTTAAATATAACGATCTGGAGGTTACATCTTGCCCAACAACAAAAATACTTGGTCTCACTGTAGATCACAGACTTACGTGGAATCCACATATTGACCTACTCTGCGATAAATTGAAAAAAAATTGCTACGCACTAAGATTCATGCGAAATCACTGCAGCAAGGAAGTTCTGCTCAGCCTGTACTATGCGACCATCAATTCTCATATAAGATACGGAATTCTAAATTGGGGGAAGGGATCTTCTGCACAAAGAGTTTTTATACTCCAAAAATATGCTATCCGAATAATTGATGATCTAGAATGATCACAGCTGCAGCAAATAGTTCTGAGCAATATTTCCGGAATTAATTCCTTTTCTGTGAATTTGGGCATAACGGCACGTTGATGTTGCTTCCAGCCCCAATCTGTTGTTAGTTCGTTACCCAGCCAAGTCTGAAAGTTATAATATGCCCTATAACGATGTTATTCTGCTGCATCTTCTATGAGTGGGAGATTTTCGAATATGAAAGATGATTTAATTTTGGCCAATAGATATTTTTGAAACCTATCTGTCATTTTTACATTTATAAATAGATTTAATTGCAACTTTTTTATAAAAAATATTGGCCAAATTTAAAAAAAATTATCGTCCAATAATGAATTTACCATGCTTTCTACCGAGGTCTTAATTATATTAGCATCAGCATCTTGTTTATAGGAAAATTCTTGTGACTGCAATCTTTCCATTAACATTTTCATTTTGTACTTGGTTTTCTCGTTGGATAATTTTTTTTTGCAAAAATGGTATTTTTGTATGGTTCTGATAATTGAACTCTGGAATATTATCTGAGGTTTTTCTGCGACTATGTTGAATTAGCTGCAGGTACTGTTGTCACAGTAACTTAACCTGCACATGTATTTTTATAAATGATGTTGTTAACTGCTCTGTACCTCGAATACTGACTAACGGTTTTTGCAGCTGCTGCAAAATAATGAACAGGTAATGAAATACCTTTAGACGGAACAAAGTTTGCCGGGTCTGCTACTTCATTATGAAGACAAAACAGGAATACTCACATTGTCGAACCAACGACTTCCTTGGTCCATTTTTAGGGTTTGTCCAAACATATTTCAGGTACTTATAGAAGGTTTTGAAAACAAGTTGTGGTACATTTTATTTATTTATCAGATTTTCAAAACTTTCAGGAAAATAAAAAAAAAACTATAACGTTATTATATGAACATTAGTCATCAATAAAATGCTATAAAAAATACAGGTCAATGTTGAAAATTACAATGTTGAGGGTGCTTCAACACACTTACACACTTTAACCTACTCCCTAACCATTTACGAGATCCTCATGCATAGACTAGAATTTGAGTAGCCCTTTAAACTACATTAAACTACTCACCCACTAATATCATGGGTGCATCTGGACAGTGATGTTTGATTTCAGGATACCACTTGGAAGTAACATTTTCAAATGAAGAGGGAGATGCTACGCTGAAACATATTAGGAAAACATCTGTTTGTGGATAAGAAAGAGGTCGTAATCTATCATAGTCTTCTTGTCCTGCCGTATCCCACAATCCTAAGCTTACTGATATACCATCAACTACCATGGGTGCTGAATAGTTGTCGAATCTAAAAGGTTACAAAATTGATTTGTCCTGTAATAATATTCAAGTTTCCAAGCTACAGACCCAATGAAATTGGTCAAGAAGTACCTTGGGGATCAGTATTCTAATCATTAACCAGATATATGTGTATACGACGTGTTCTGCTTATATATAAAATATACATATTTAACTTACACTGTTGGTACATATTCTCCGGGAAAGCTATCTGTAGTATATGAAATAAGCATACATGTCTTCCCAACAGTTCCATCTCCAACTACAACACATTTAATGGGCCGGCCTGAAGACATATTAACCTTTCTAGAATGAAAACATAGACGTTATGAATATGAGTATATGACTGAAATCACAACATCGAAAATCATGTAACCTAAAAATTGTGGGCAGGGCTGATTCATTACCAGTTAGACGGTATTTTTTTAAAATTCCCTATGAATATTTTGTTGGACGACAAAATTATAATGATTATTTCTTTTTTTAATAGAATAAACCATTTACTTTCTTTGACTTCACAAAACAACTATTTTTCGAAATAAAATCCAATAGATAAATAAGTGGAATTAAATTAATTCAGGGAATCATTACCACAAGGTGGAGCTGCAAAATTCAAGAACAATAAAGAAAATTGCTACGGGTAAAAGTGTGAGCACTAGCAGGAAGTGATCGATTTGTGAGCAATCATATTATTCTATTGACAAAGAGAATCAAAACATTAAATATACACGATTATTCATTTATTCCTATGACATACGCATCAAAACTCAATGACTAAACTGTTGATCCTGAGTTTATTGTCCTAGTAACAAAGCTAAAAAAACGAAAAGAAGAAGAAGAATCGACATTTTACTTGGATCGTTTGATTGGTCGTTTTTTGTTTATGTGGAAATACCAAAAATTATGTAGATTGATGGTAAGATGTCTAGAAACCCAGGTGCATCTACTCTAAGATGTCTAAAAACCCTGGTGCATCTACTCATACCTGCAAAAGTTTGGGGTAAAATGAGGGATTTATGGCTAACTTGATTAGCAGAGATCAACGCCG